GGTACAGGCACGTGGGGAACACAGGGTGGCAAATGTGCGACTGAGCTCTGTGGCAACGAGCGCACTAATGGTGGGGGCTGTGCGAAAGGGGCTGCGTGCGCCGCTTCGGGTAAGCTTCTTGCTTGCGGCGCTTTTCGCTTGCCTTCGCTGTATCGCTCTCCAGAGCTCTCGCTTGGCGGAGCCTCTCGTCTCCCGAAGCCTTTTGCTGGCCGGAGCTCCTCGCTTGCTTTCTCTCCGTCGCCTACAGAAGATTCTCCATTGCCTGTGGGATTCCTCCCATCACCCGCACCGGGAGCGCACCAACGGAACACCACCAGGTTACAGGCGGTGGTAACAAGTATTGCTGCATCTCTTCTGTTGTCTAGCTTAGGTATTCTGACTTTTGCTTTTTCCTTCTTTCTGTCCTATCGCTATTATCTTTATTTTGTAGAATAAAGCTTACAAGGTTTGCACGGCGTCTGACCTCGTTTGCATCTTAATCTCGCTCTTGGGATCATTTAAGAACCCTCCCCGATATTGGATCTGGACAATATCCATTTCCCTAGTAAGACTATCCAGAAAACTGCGTCAGCCAGATTGTATTGGTGAGGAGAAATGAATTGTTTTATACTACAGCAATCACTTTGGAAAAGTCTAAGCAACAGCTGTTCTAAGAACAAATAATACTTTGTCATAATACATTTTATTTATTACCAAAATTTCCAGAAGCCGAATTTGGCATTTTTTTTTTAATCTTCCATAAAGATTTTCATGCATAACTTGAAACTTGTCAACTGCAACAGTCGAGTGGTTACTTTAGAAGAGACACTTGAACAGAGACAAACATCCAGAGTACAAACAGCTGTATCTGAATTAACAAAACTTGTCTATTACTAACCTTATAAAGCAGGACGTGCCTTCCCTTTTATCAAAACCAAGCTGACAGATCTGCCTTTATACACACCAAACAGAATAAACTCTGTTATCGGCAAGGACGTTTTCCTTAAACGTTAGAAAAAAAAAAAAACAAAGCAAAGAATGGAGTGACTGTCCATAAACCAGTCTTATACTTCAGTCCTCTTTAATCTACTTCTTCGATGGTCGGGCCGCCAGAGCCACCCGCCCCGGCCCCTCCAGCTCCCTGGTACAATTTTGTGACAATCGGGTTGCAGAGTTTCTCCAGCTCCTTCTGCTTGTGCTCGTACTCTTCTTTCTCAGCCATCTGGTTGCGATCGAGCCAAGATACCACCTCCCGGCACTTGTCGAGCACTTTCTGCTTGTCTTGGTCACTGATCTTTCCCTTCAGTTTATCATCCTCCACCGTCTGCTTCATGTTGTAAGTGTAGGACTCAAGGGAGTTCTTGGCTGACACCCGATCTCGGTTAGCTTCATCCTCCGCTTTGTATTTCTCCGCTTCTTGCACCATACGGTCAATGTCATCCTTGCTAAGGCGACCCTTATCATTGGTGATGGTGATCTTGTTCTCCTTACCCGTGCTCTTGTCCACGGCGCTGACATTCAGGATACCATTGGCATCGATATCAAAAGTGACCTCGATCTGGGGGACTCCGCGGGGTGCCGGTGGGATGCCCGTTAGGTCAAATTTGCCCAGCAAGTTGTTGTCCTTCGTCATAGCCCTCTCACCCTCATACACCTGGACCAGGACGCTGCTCTGGTTGTCCGAGTAGGTGGTGAAGGTCTGAGTTTGTTTGGTGGGAATGGTGGTGTTGCGCTTGATGAGAGCTGTCATCACTCCACCAGCTGTCTCAATGCCCAGGGACAGAGGGGTGACATCTAACAGCAGCAGATCCTGCACATTCTCAGACTTGTCTCCCATGAGGATAGCTGCTTGCACAGCAGCACCATAGGCAACAGCCTCATCAGGGTTGATGCTCTTGTTGAGCTCTTTGCCATTGAAGAAGTCCTGTAGCAGCTTTTGGATCTTGGGGATACGAGTGGAGCCACCCACCAGCACGATCTCCTGGATCTGGCCCTTGTCTAGCTTGGCATCGCGCAGAGCCTTCTCCACAGGCTCCAGGGTGCCACGGAAGAGATCGGCATTGAGCTCCTCAAAGCGGGCACGAGTAATAGAGGTGTAGAAGTCAATGCCCTCGTAGAGGGAGTCGATCTCAATGCTAGCTTGTGTGGAAGAGCTGAGGGTGCGCTTTGCCCTCTCACAAGCCGTACGCAGCCGCCTCACCGCTCGCTTGTTGCCAGCAATGTCACGCTTGTGCTTGCGCTTGAATTCTTCCACAAAATGGTTCACCATGCGGTTGTCAAAGTCCTCCCCACCCAGATGGGTGTCACCAGCTGTGGACTTCACCTCAAAGATGCCATCCTCAATGGTAAGGATGGACACATCAAAAGTGCCCCCTCCCAAGTCAAAGATGAGAACATTCTTCTCTCCAGCCCGAGTACCTTTCTTGTCCAAGCCATAGGCTATAGCAGCTGCTGTGGGCTCGTTGATAATACGCATCACATTCAGGCCAGTGATGGTGCCAGCATCTTTGGTGGCCTGGCGCTGGGAGTCGTTGAAGTAAGCAGGCACTGTGATGACAGCATTCTGCACCTTTCGCCCCAGATAGGCCTCTGCAATCTCCTTCATCTTGGTGAGGACCATGGAGCTGATCTCCTCTGGGAAGAAGGTCTTCATCTCACCCTTGTACTCCACTTGCACCTTGGGCTTGCCGCTCTCGTTCACCACACGGAAGGGCCAGTGCTTCATGTCAGACTGAACTGTAGGGTCATCATACTTGCGGCCGATGAGACGCTTGGCATCAAAGATGGTGTTGGTGGGGTTCATAGCCACCTGGTTCTTGGCAGCGTCACCGATAAGGCGCTCTGTATCAGTGAAGGCCACATAGCTGGGCGTGGTGCGGTTGCCCTGGTCATTGGCGATGATCTCCACTTTCCCATGCTGGAAGACACCCACGCAGGAGTACGTAGTGCCCAAGTCGATGCCGATTGCCGGCCCTTTGGCAGACATGGTGACAGGTTTCTCCGATCAGCTCCTCACTCGCGGTGGCGTCTCCCTCCGCCCGCTCTCGCTGCTGTCCGCGGCGCGATGTGCCGTCACGGTGCCGCTGGCGTTCGCTTTATAGCCGGCTGCGCCGACTTCTGGAACCTGCCAGAACCCTGCTGGCCAATCTAGAAGCCCGCCCGTCACTACCGGCCAATCGCCTACGCGATTCGCGAAGAGCACCCGCCCCCTCCCTGCAGGCCAATCAGAACCGTGGCGCCCACCCGTCAGCCCAGCCCGCCCCACCAGATCGCGCTTCTTCCTGGTTTTTCTCGATCCGTCTCGCTTTACAGACTGCGCCACCAGCCTCGACCAATCATCGCCCGCGCTTCGCATTTGCCCCGCCCTCGCCCAGACACTCAACTAGAAAGTTCCAGTGCACATCAGACGCAAGGTTGGAGATTGACATGAGCGACATCCAATGGGGATCGGGCAGCCGGGAGAGGGGCGGTGCGAGGGCCGCCGCCCGAGGCCGTGCTGTGCTGGGTGGTCTGTAAGCGGCTCGGCTCGCGCTCTAAGGGGCATGGCGATGGGCGTGCGGACACCCTTCCTCCTCCTCCTCCTCCTCCTCCTCCTCCTCCTCCTCCTCCT